ATATATCGAACATCTTTTCACGCTGATGTGTTCTGGTTGTACACAGATTTCATTTGATTGATATAAATAATATTTAAGCACACAGCTGTTCTACTTATGTGTCCCTAAAGAGTCTAGTGGGACATTTTAACACATGTGATTTTGGGGCATCAGAGTAAACTGGGTAGAATACTTTTGAACATCACATGTTGGATAAATTTATATGTAAGATATTTTTGACACCAAGCGTAATTTTTACTCACACTTTCCAAATATGAGGGATCTCATGCTGATCACATTAAATTACAAACATAGAATTTTATGGTTGAAATGTGAAAAATGTTTAAATAAAATAAATAATAGATCAGGAGTACTTCCTGCATTTTGGGGTTTTTTTTTAGAAGAGATGTGGTGAGAAATGAACCAGCTGCTGGACTCCACTGAAAGTGTCCGTTTCTTGATACGATGACCTTCAAAAGGCGCCAGGTTTCGTTTTAGGACAAACACAGAGCTTCTTGATCAAAAACCAGACACGAAGCAAAGCTTTGAAAGTCTCTCGATAAGACATGTTGCGAAATCCTTTGAGGAAAATGTATCCCGTTAGTGCTTACATCTACGCCGCAGCACTGATGGAAAGAGCAAACAGATAAATAATCGGACACGGAGAGGACACCACAAAGCAGACTGGAGAAATGATGAACGAGCAGAGGAGGACAAATAAAAAAATCTAACGCTGATTTAAAGAAGATAGAAGGTGAAGGATGGAAAATCTGTGCTCAGTGGTAGACGTAGAGAAAATCAGATTTTCCAGAAAATATCCACCAGGTGATCAAAGGTATCGGGAAGGAGTGAGAGGATGACGAAGAGTCTGTGGATGTGGATTCATCAAACAGAAGTGAAAACTTAATGACAACTGAAGCTCAGGAATATCAAAGATCTGGGGCCGACTGAAAAATGTTATCAAGATGCCAGCGTTTCGTACGAGTCGATAGATAATTATTGATTTTGTTTTAAATATCTGAAATATTGCCAAACTGATTTTTCCTGTCTCATCTAAAGCTTTCACTCCACACTGTTTTTTATTTTTAACCTCTGACTACATCTCCCAGAATGCTGTGCGGTTCTGGATCCAGGTTTTAAAAATTATTGAACATCCTATCAGATCTATTGATATTGATCAACAGGTCTATCACAATAGATATTGATTTGTTGCCTAGCTGCACCCACGTCTTGCTTAAAGTCCAACCGCTCAATAATTTGCTTGTTTTACTGGGTTTTTGATGACATTCAAGCCGCCATGTTTTCTCCACTCTCAGTTGAAAAGTCGAGACTTGGTGTCCTGGTGGTCAGCTGAGCCTTTCAGGCGGCTGAAGCGTGTGAGAGAGAATAGTGGTGGTGCTGCTTCCTTAAACTTGAATGAATTCCTGCACCGGCCTTCCTGCTCGGCCTGTCGGGAGCCAATTATGAGCAGAAGCAGACTTTCTGATTAACACACGACCGCCGCGAGAGGAGACACAGAAAAAAGGAGTGAAAACACCCTTTAACACCGTGTTCTCTCGTGTGATTTACCAGCCACATTAGCCGTAAAGATCAGGCAACCGTGCAAAACATGTGGCTCAATTATCGCATAGGGCCTGCACAATGACTCAACGGACACGAATTCAAAGCTGCTGCAGGCTCTCTATTCACCTGCTGAAAGTCTTTTCACATAGAAGCGAGACATTAAAGGAGGAGCACCATCAGAACAAAGCCCCAAACAAACTGAACTCAGGTCACTGATTAACCAGACTAAAACCCACTGCAGCTAAACATCAGCCCCACTTCTTCTTCTCTGTCTGAATGAATCGCTGTGCTTTCAAAAGCAACAATAACTTGAGTATGAATGGGCCAGAGACCCACACTGAGGCAAAGTGGGAAACTTAAAAACGCTACGGATTCAATGCTCGACAGGAAAAACACCAGAGTTACTGGATTTACTTTGTTTTTTTGACTGGAGTAACTAGAGTTTGGGTCAGAGCGCTACTTTGTTCACAGACTGCCACTAGGGGGAGCTAGAGCGCAAAGAGGAAAAAGTGCCCCTCTGAAATCTTCTGTAAGTGTATTGTGTGTAGCTAAAGGCAGCATTTGGTGTAAAAAAAAAATCATTTTCTAACTCATTTAAAGCAGGAGAAAAACAAACAATGCTCACATAAATCTCTGGGCTAGTCAAGTCTTTTCAATTTACTCCAATTCAGTTTATAAAGCGGCAATTCACAACAATCATTGTCCTAAAACAATACATAAAATCAATGGAAATTGTTAGTTTCAATTTTCCATAAGTTTACGCATCACATAGACCGTAAAGAATAATTTGATTGATCGACATCAAACTGAAAACATTTAAAACATTAAATCAAAAATAAGTAGGTTAATAAATGAGTAAACTATATGTGTACACAATTCAAATAGTAGAAGTAGAACTTAATTAAAAAACTAAATTTAAATAATTTTATGGTGAAACTGTTATTACGCATGACTGAAACCAGAACAAAAATATAAAACTAAAACATAAATCTAATAGATAAGACATTAGGGTGATTAATGTCTTATATCACCTTAATAATAGCATTAGAAATAATTGTTTTTCTTTTTTGAAAGAAAGCTTTTGCAACAATAGACCATAATAACATCGTTTCATGCCTGATTGCAACTTTAACTTAATTCTAGCTTGACATTAAGAGATGATTTTCCTAAGACTTCTTTTGCTGAGTCTTCACTTCTCTGATAAATCAGCACAGATGCAAACAGCCACTCACAAATCACACAAGCCAATTAACATCATTTTGTCCTAAAACTGCAGAGACAGAGCCAAATCAATAAAAAATAAGCTGTGCTTCAGGTCTCATACTCACACAGCTGTGTTCCTCGTCCCTTTGGTCTGCACAGCTGATAAAAAAGCAGCTTCACGGGGCCAATTGCTCTCGTGGGACACTGTGGAGGAATTAGCAGCCAGATGCCCATTAGCCAGAGATCCAGCAGACATGTGCTGCCTGGGAGGAACTGTGCATCACACTTCCAGTTCCTCCTCTCTTTATGCCTCCGCCGTTGCTCCACAGGCAAAGAAGGAGGAGCAGCAAAAAAAAAAAAAAAAAAGAAAGCATTTTACAGCCTCTGCTTGTGAAAAACAAAGACACCGCTCCTCCTCTTCCAAACTATTTAACAATAGTGCACCTCCTCTGAACTGCCTGCTCAGTGACCTGCAGCCAAAACAGCGAGATGTTGCCAAGTGTCCGCTGGGAAAGGTGACCACCCGCTGAACGGATTGTTTTAACGCCTCCATCAAGCTACCTTCACTTCACTGAGGAGAAATGCAATGCCTCCCGCGTTTTAACCTTGTCCCTCGAGTCAAAACACAGTTTTTGAGCACATCCTTGTCATTTATTTATACAGTTCTGCTCTCAGAATAAGAGAGAACAATCCTTTCACTCTTGCTGCCCTTTCCCAACCACTCAAACCACAGAAAATATCCTGTTGGAGCCGTTTCTTTCAGAATATGAAATATTTTCTTTATCAACACTGCACCGGGTGGCTTTGGGTTTGGCTCTGTTGACCAAGACTTCAAGTTTTATCACAATATTTTGCAGAACTATTGTAACAATAAAAAGAGATGATGCATCTTTTTTCGTCAACTCTGTGACTGAGTCATGGCAATCATAGCCCCACAAACAATGCTGCCAAAAACATCCATTAATCTGTAAAGAAGCATGATTAGTATCACCAGTTTACACACTTTAACTGTATTTTCAAATTTATTGGTTGTTTTTTATGCTTTCCTTCAACAAATACTGGAGAAAATAGTAAAACTATGAATCCTGATGACAAGGACTGTTTAGCGAGTTTGTAAACATCATTAATGGGAATTTATTGTGACAAGAATAAATCAAAATTCTCATAATGACAAGAAATTCATCATGATAAACAATATGATAAGAGTCAGCTTTTCCTCCACAGCTGGAGGAAAGAGAAATCAAAGCTGGTGGTCTTAGAGTCGGTCACCTGCGCTGCTGGAGGGCACAGGGTTAATTGTGTGTGTGTGTGTGTGTGTGTGTGTGTGTGTGTGTGTGTGTGTGTGTGTGTAAGAGCGAGAGAGAAAGAGAGAGAGAGAAATTAATGAATGTATGGCAGTTATCAATCAATTCCGAGTCTTCCAGAAAATAATGACAGACAGAAAATCTATTTAAAAGTGAGAGAGTCTAAGTCAGCAAGTCTAGACTTTGTAATTTATCAGAACAGGACTCCATGAAGTAATCTGATGAGCAAAAGAATAATAAAAAAAAAAAAAACATTGCATTTATTAGCCAATTCACTCCACAAATACACCTTTTATGGTCGACTGTCAGGAAGAAATGCATGCAAAACACGCTGCTTATGCCAGAAAACTAATCCGAATCTCTCCATCCCACCAGGGAACATGGAGGTGGCAGCATCATGCTGTGGGGATGCTTTTCTTTGAGCTTGCACTGTTAATAAGACACATTTTCTTATATTTGGCTAAATCTAATGAAGAAACTAGTTAGTGGCGGAAGTTGAAGTCGCCAAGTTCCCTTCAAGGAACTTAGAATTTATTCTAAGCAATTGTTTAGAATAAATTGTTCTCATGTGTTAAATGATTAAGGTGAAGTCCTGACTTAAAATATAAACATGCCCCAGGTCCTGACTGGTTAGCAAGTCAACACCATGATGCGCCCAGTCGGAATATTTCTGTTACGCAGCCGCCGGATGCCCAAATGCGTCCCCCACAGCACAAACGCGCATAAAACGGGGCGCATTGCTGGGAGCTGATCCGCGCGTCTACGAGCTGTGGCCGATGTCCAGATCACACCGAGACTCACAGACGCCACGGCAAGACAGACACACAGACAAACACACGCGCAGACGGGCTGGAAATATCCCCGGCAATATTATTATAACCGCTTATTATGGAGCAAACGCAAAGAGAGGAGGAAAGCGCGCGGCATGACGCCAGTTTTATCTGTTCTTACCTTAGAAAAACAGGGAGAAGAGTGTCGTAGCAGCGGTCCAAACTTTGGGGATAAGCTGTATTTACACAGCAATGCCTTTAACTACACGAGTCCACCAGAATAATTCAGAATAGTCCGGAGTCTGTAGTTCAGCCAAAACTCGGGAAACAGTCAAATGTTCTTGTTGTAAGCGCCGACTTCCACTTGTCACAGATATTTAAGACTTGTCAACAAAGAAGGACGGCCAAATATGACCTGCACCGTGGAGGAGCGCACCGTGGACGCTCTCCGCTCCTCGGTCGCTCTCTGAATGCGAGCCCCAGCCACACCGCCTGCTCTCCAGGCTCCGCAGCCGGACCAGCAGGCGCCGCCAGGTGCTCATTTACATAACTGCACCGGCTGTGTCCAATCACAGCCGCAAGCAAGGTGCCTGATTGAATATGCCAGCATGCAGCTCAGCCAATCAGAGCCGCCTGGGGGAGGGAGTTACGTACTGGGCAACAGCAGAGAAGCGCACAGGACAGACAACTATAATGAGTTATTTAGAGCAACAAATTAACTTCACACGCATGTTATTCTGGAGTGTGGGATGAAGAGGGGTAAACAAATAACACAGGAAGCCTAAAGTAGGACTCAAAGGTTACAAACCAGAGGGGAAATAATTACACAAATAAATCAGAAAAATATCCAAAGGTTAGACAGAACAGAAGACAACTAAATACAAAATAGAGTAGGCTATTTTATCTTGACTTGGTATCAATATTATCTTAATATTAATAATATTATCAATATTATATTAATAATATTGATACCAGGTCACATCGATACCTTGAGATTCCCTTATAAAATCTTATTTTATTTTTGTGTCATTTTGTTTGTTTATGTTGTTCATTTTGTACACAGCTTTAAACTTTCTTCCAATTCTTTCTAAGGTTTTAACAATATCATTCAAAGGAAAAATCACCAAAACACCTCAGTGTCATGAAATTTGATATATCAAACTATTAGAATAAAAAGCATCTCTATCAGTATCAACATCAGTGATACTGGCCTCGTGTTTGTTTGGTACAGGAGACATACCAAAATATGCACCTGTAACACCTGTAATACAAAATAATAATGAGCTGAATATGGCAAGACCTGTTGAGCAATAATAAAGAAACCCAAATTATGAACTTCCTGGCTAATGTTATCTGAAATGCTAACATTAACATGTTTGCTACCAAAGGCTAATTTTATCCACTCTGCTACCGGTGACTAATTTTGAATTTGCTAACTGGCTAATGTTTTATAATACCATAACAATAGCATACTAGCTTCAAAGAGCTAATTTCTGTTGCTATTTTAGTGGAAGCTTATGCGCTTAAATAAGACAAAGTTATTAGCTCACTGCAATTGATATAGCAATGGCATTTTAGCTACAAGTAGCTAAATTCAGCAACTATGCTAAATGGTTATTTACATGGTAAAATTATGGTTGAAATATTGAACTTTAACAAAGACTGTAATGGTAGCTTCAAGAGCTAATTCAATGTCCGTGGTAATGTACATGGTAAAATCAGATAAAATTCAAGAATGACCAAATGGCACTTTAGTTACCAATAGGCAACTAAAGTGCTGAAGTTAAGCTAATATTCACAAATCACAAAACTTTAGCGACAGTTTTAACACTACCTTGTTTGCGAGCATTAAGTAACTTTATCTGGACAGCTAACCAAGAAAAAGTAAATTGTTTTAATGGTACATGCACTATAAGCTGTAAACATATGAAGTTATAGATGTGAAGAGCTGAAACAGTGCCAAGGTTGTAGACGAAGCTGCAGGCCAAGAAATGCATGTTAAAGACAGAGGTTCTTAATAACAGGCTTTCACACAACAAGAACAATTTGGTGTAGTTTCAGTTTGGCACCAGTGCAATTTAAATGTGGGTCATATGATCTAGAAGCAGTTAAACTGATGCATGTAAAGGAAATTGTTTCAGCTGCTCATTGAAGTAGATTTATAAACTTTCAAACTGTTTAAATAATCAGTAGTAAAAGTCTCTGCATCTGGCCAGACTCATTCGTTCTGGACCCTGTACTCAACGGCAGTATTCATTTCTTAAGGCAACTTTATTACAGAGTATTGGTGGAGTAACTGTATACTATTACTGCCTCTTGGCTATAATGACTTACAATGAAGGGTTAGCAGGAAAGCAGAGCTGCAGCCAGGTCAGTTGTTGATATGGGACCCCGAGGCAACACGGGGCTGAGTCGGGATTTCATGTTTAAAAAGAGCCACATGTGTGACTTTCTATACTGCAGGACATCAAAAGTGAATAATACAGACTAGAAAGGAGGCTTTAAAGCAGGTGGAGTGCTTGTTTGTGCTTGTCTGGCAGAGAGGAGAGAAACTTTAGCTGGAGCTCAATCAGCAACCGGGGACAATAGAGATCATTTACTTACTGAGCTCCACCTTGGATAAACTAGGAAGGGGAACTCCTTAAAAAACTTTGTGCTTTCTTTGCTGATTCCAAGTTGTTTTGTGTTTAAACTTGTCCAGTGAAATCTTGAAAATAACTCCTAAATAGTTCTGAATCCATAAGATCTCACAGAACACTATTTAAAATACACAGTCCTTTTACAGTATTCAGTCATTTAACACCCACAAAGTGTCGTATTAAAGCTAGAAATTGTTGTGCATTTTATTGGATGTTTTGATAAACCAACACAAAGTAGAGCATATGCATGAATTTGACAGAAAACACAGCATGCATATCTGTTCAAACCAGAGTTAAATGTTTTAGAACCACCACGGAAGCCAGAAGAGACCATAATTGCATGGTTTTTTTTATCATGTTGTTTTTATGGCATACCGATGCCAATTGTGTTGAGATAATGAGACGATTTCTCCCGTTTTCACGAGAAGACGAGGTTTCCTCAAGATAACGAGATGGTAATCTTCTCTTGAAAGCTGCTAATCGTTCTTTAAACCTTCCCAAGAACGGACCGAAACTGGAAACGTCAGATTGGAAAGAACTTGACATCGATCAACGCATCAACACTTATAATTTCTCTCCTGTTGTTGCTTTCAGCTTTTGTGCAAATTACATCTGTGAGTTTTTTTTTAGTTTAAAGTGGTGAGCATCGCAGCTTATAGAATTTCTTCATCGCAAAATATCTCAGTCAAATTGGAAGGATAATGTTTGCGATTATGTTTTGCCAAATACTCTCAACTAGATTTACAGCTGGACTTTGACTGGGCCATTTTAATACATGATTATGCTTTGATTTAAGAATGTTTTTAAGGGTTATTGTTCTGCTGAAAGGTGAACCTTGACCTCTCGAATTTTCTTACAGGATGTCCTGCAGGTTTGCTCTTCCTGTTATGCTCCATAAATCTTGTCAGTCTTTCATAAAGCTGAGATAAAGCACTGGGGGGAAAAATCAATAGCCCACTGCACTGAACCCCAGTGAAAACCTCCTGGTTATTCCACCAATTAATAATTTCTGAGTTAAAAAATTTGTATTGTTGTCTCTAAATAAATAAGAACTTGTTTTCTGTGCATCATTTGAGGTCTGACAGCCTCAAATGATGATTATTGATTATGATGGATCAATGTGGTAAATTTAACAAGACTGTTTCCTATAATCTAGAAAAAAGACAGATTAGCACACATTTGATGTTTGTGTGTCGACTGAAAGTGCTTTTTAGAGTTTGCACACTTGATTTCTGCCTTCCCTTGTTTCTGCTTCACTGATGCCATGTTTTCATCAGCCGTTCTCCCTTCCTCCCCCTCGCCATCTCCACCTCTGTTTCCAACTTTTTTTGGCTTGAAAATAAAAAGAGTTGTGCTGAATTTTCATCTGTTCTCCGTGCATGTTAACATTTTCTCATCACTTTTCAGTTCACAGCTACGACAAACCAAACGCTTGTTTCTTCTCTCTTCTCTTCTCAAACTGCGGCAATTAAAATGTGAAGCTGCAGGCCTTCATCTGTGAATTAAGGGCCACAATAGAGAAAAAAGGTGATTAATTCAGTGACATCAGCAAGAAACTGATTCCCAGAATTTGTCCAGTTGATGAGTGCAGTAACTCCCAGCTCTGTTATTCTTTTCCCAAAAGCCGTCCCCTTTGCCTTTCAGCTCGTTTTTGTCGTGCACGTCGTCCAACAGGCTCTGCTTTGTTAGTTGTCTGGGCAACTGCAAATCCCCTGGCAAAATTTATGACCTTTTTTTTTCCTGCATTATTTCCCTTCTACCCTCGCTCGTATTCTTGTTTTCGCCTCACTTCTGCTTTTCCTGGATCCCTTTTTTTTTTTTTTTTTGTTGATATTTCTCATTTCGGTCTTTTTCCACACAACTCTCACGGTTTCTCTGTCGAGTTTTGGTTTGTTGCTAATGCACCCCCCACCCCCTTCATCCTCTCCTCCCTCTTCAACTCTGAGTGAAAACCAGTGGAGCATAAAAAGCAGGTCTGATCCTGTGAGGAATTCACACAGTGAATTCACGCAGCGAGAAATGAACGGGGAGGGAATAAAAGAGAAAAAGTTGTTCTGCACTTATGAGGCCGCGATGACGACAAACCGCTTGGTGCCAAGAAAAGAAAGTGTTACCTGAAGCATCAATGCCATTCGAAGAAGAAGAAAGAGCGGGTTTCAAGACGTGAAAACTGTTAAAAGTTGGCAAAGTTTTTCCTTTTTTTTTAAGAGGTTGCTGCACCTAGTGGAAAAAAATTAGCATTTTTATCAAAAGCTTTTATTTGGCGTTGGTGATTTTGCCTGTATTGCCTGTCAGAGCGAAGATGCATCTTGAATTGATCACGTCTCTGACATCAGAAACACAAGCCTCTGAATTAGAGATGGAAGCGTTCAGTTTAAAGGAACAACACACAGTCTCTGTCTCTCTCCCTCTCTCTCTCTCTGCGGCTGCCTCTCCACCTCCTGTTGTGGTCTGACAGCTGTGCAGGGCCGCAGGACTCAGACAACGCAGATCAGTTGCAGAATGCGAGGCTTGCAGAGTGTTGGGAACCAGTGTAGAGCCGCATACCGCGCATTCTGCCTTCTGAAACATATCCGCCAGGGTCTCTGGGAATGTTCAAAGTCTCCACTGGCAAACAAGAAAAACCCTTAATGTTTATTTTACAGCAACATACAGCGGCGTGCACACGCCAGCTAATATTTTAGGTTTTTGTTATGTGGAAAATGGAACAATGAGAGATGATTTCAATATGTTCTCCACTCATAAAGAGATTTAGAGGGTTTGGTATCCAACATGGGCTGAAAGGCCACTCACACAGGAAGAAGCAATCACTGCAAGTGCAACATAAAAATC